CCTAAGACAGGCTGGCCTTTTCCTTGTTCTAAAAGGAAGGCTTGTGGTGACTTTATGCCAATCTCACCATTTTTTTGAGGCTTGCTTTCTTAACTCTGTAGTGGTACATAAATGTGTATTTGTTTAGTGTCTCTCATCACATCAGATTTTTAAGACTTATAAATGTGTATGTCCTCTGTACTGTTAGTACCTAATTTTTAGGAGAATGTGTTTTATAAGAGATTATGTATTATATATTATTATAACTTATAATTATTATAAATATACAATAATTACAATATAATTATAATAATTTGTAATAATTTATTATAATCTCTTTTATAAGAGATTCTTCCATTTGGAATCAGTACTTGTGGTTCTTGCTGCAAGAGTGCTGCATCAAAGATGTGCCCACTCAGAGAACTCAATGCATATCATTCATCCCTAATGCAAAATTAGTCCCAGAGGTGATGCTTGAATTCTGGTGGAATTAATGGCAGAAGTTTGTCAAGGCAAGAGTCATCTATAAACCATAAACTTTATGAGCTTATCATCAAACTTGACCAGGGGAACCTGAGGGCCAGCATTGCTTACGTCTGTTCACTGCCCCGTGACAAGATCCCAGGCAGGAAACTAACCCCTTCCTAGATCTATTTGTCTGCAGCAGTTCAGCGCTTCACCAGTAATCCAGACCTTGAGCACACAGTGGTTTTAGCTCATAGGACGTGGTAAAACTCCCATAACTTGGGGTTTTGCTGTTAGAGGCCAAGCAGGACGTACTTCTACTGTGTGCATGCACCGAAAATACTATCTAAACAATGCAAAGCAGCCTGGGGAAGGTGTTGCCACAGGGTTTCACAGCAGTTAGCAACCTGGTGTGATTAGACAAAGAGAATGAGTGCAGGAGGAACTGGAAAGTCCAGTCAGAGTAAAAGCTAGGAAATGAAACAAGATTCCCTAGCTCAAGGCATAAACCAAGAATAGGGTAGAACAAAAGTAGAAACTATCCCTGTGGGCAAGGATACCTTCCTTCAGGTTTGTGCACATCTGAAATGATCTGGAAGAGGCCTGGGGACAGGCTGTGGGCAAGGACATGGCCCGGTGAACTGCAGCAATGACACTCTCTTTTCTACCATGTATTCCAGAGGGATCAGCACCTGTCTTGGCTTGCCTTGCCTGGGTGTGCAGAGCCTGGCCTGTTTCTGGAGACACTGCCATGTGCCATCAAAGGACAGTGCCATTGGTGCCATCAAAGGACAGCTTACCCAGGAACATGGCATAAAGGATGATGCTGGCATTCCAGGTGTCTGCCAGAAAGGGGTCGCAGGGCCTGCAGGATCTCGAGGCAGGCATAGATGCAGGACACATGGGAGATCTGTCTCAGCATCCTCCTGGGGGATCTTCCTGGCTTAGTGCCTTCCTGACTTACCTTGACTGGATATGTGGAATGTGCAGAGGACAAAAGCTGAGCAGAGATCCTAAGTTCTCAATGCAAGCACGTGAGATGTGTTTGACTGTAGATGAAGCTGTTAACAGTTCATCATGACAGATAACCAAGAGCAGGAGACACTGAAGGAACCCTGAAGAGCCAGGAGTCAGTACTGGTAAAAAAGCCACTGGAGAGGGGGAACCCAAGCTTAGATTAAAGACTCTGGTCCTCTGGTATGGAATATGTAGAAGCACAGTAGTTGCCAAGCTGATACACTGTCAGACAGAAGGCAGATACAGTCAGATACTTCACACCAGCTGGAGAGAACTAACAGAACTGTGCACCCAAGCACCCAAAAGAGGACCCCTTTTCCAAATAATCCGCTTCCCAGGAGGGGAGCCCTTGGGGGAGCTCACAGCAATGGGGGATGTCCTAGCACAAGTAGCACTGCTCTCTCAGAGGTGATAAAACTGGCAGAGCAATCAAGACATTGACCATGGGCTTCTCTGTTTCGCTCACGCCAGCTGTTCCCAAGTTCTGCTGCACAGAGGTGACTGTGGAGAGCTAAGACTGTGGAGCTACCTTTCCAGGGTGACTTCCCGATGGCAGCAAAATGCAAGTTACCAAGGGTCAAACTAGCTGGGAAAAAGTTAATCACACGGTGTTCCTAAAGACTGCAAGAAGAATCACTTGCTGATGTTCAGCATAAAAGCCTGGCTGCTACACTTGCTACACTGCAAGTTTCCCTAGTCAACAGTCAATACAAAGCTGAGCGGGAGTTACACCAAGTCTCTAAGCATGGTGCTACCAGAGGGGTGAGACAAGCTTCTGCAGCAGTATCAGCTCATTTAATCACACGCCTGCCTCCCGGGCGATAGGCAAGCTGGCTTCTGAGAGGCCCATGATGAAATGAGAGATGTTTTACTGCACATTACAAGTGCCAAATGAGATCCTTTATAAGACACGGTCCAACTCAAACATTGGTCTTTTCTGGAACTAGCTTGGAGAGTCCGAAATCTATAATATATTTGACCATTTTCCCCTGATTTATGGAGATACGGTTGAGCCAATATCAATCCTAGACACGTGTGATGTCTCAGCTGATGTTGCAGCTCTCTGGCCTTGTGCCGAGTGGCTGTGCACAGACGTGACTGCCTCCCAAGGCTGACAGAGTTGCTTCCTGCTGCCCTGCGCGGGAGGCCGTGCGTACTGCAACGCTTAATTTCATCCAGTGGCTGCGCTCCTGAGATTTCCATCCAGGAGATGGCAGTAGCAGCATCCCAGTGTTTGCACAGGGATTCACACCGGCTCAAGCGGCCCCTTTGCCTCCGGGCTGCACTGCTCTCTAATCACCACACGGTTTTATTACATGCAGCCTCGTTAGGAATAAGCAACGGCTCTGCAGAACTGTATCCAGACAAACTGCTTCCGCTAGGTGACAGGCACAGTCTCAAGGGATAAAAGGTGATGCGTGTCTGCCACGTGCCCTCCTTTTAGCTTTAAGGTTTGGAAACAGATTCTATGCTGCACGTTTGAGGCTCTGGCTCCACTGTGGCTGTCTACACTAGCAAGGTCTGAGAGAGAGGTGCTTTGGGGTAGCAAAGGTTTATAATTGAGAGTCTAAGAAAGGCTGCTCTGTGGAAGGGGAGACTGAATAGCTAGGCTCTCATAATGCCCTCCTCCCAAATCAGAGTCTAAGAAACTGCACTTCCAGTCCTCCCACAAAGGAGAAGCTATAAGACTCTCTGCCCAAACATTTAACTATTTATAAGAGGAAACGTTACAAAAACAACAGAAAAGAAAGGTTTGTAACTTTTCCATCCTGAGAAGCTAAGGACAGAGAAGAGCTGTGCTGAACCTCAGCTTTGCACTAGTGCTCAAACATTTCACCCTAGGGGCACTGCAAATCTGGAGCCTCTTCAGTAGACCCAGGAGCTCTTTTCAGGCACAACAAATRCTCCAGATGTGCTGCAGACAAGAAACCCTGAGCCCTTCATAAACAAAGCTCTTGGAATAACATTAATTGGGAAAGCAAATAGAGCATTGCAATAACACTCRGCAAGATTCCTTTAAAAAGAGTGTTACATGACTGGCCAAGAAATTTATACTTTCTAGATGAGAGTTTGGTGATTTCTCTTTCCCAAAAATCCATTTTCTCCACTGCTGCAATTGGGATTTTATTCTCCAAGTGGAAGGACTGATTATCTAAAATGAAACGGAGCGCCTGTGGGTGTCCATGCTTAAGTTCAGAGAGTACCTAGAGGTCCTGGTCCCTCTGGATCCTCATGAAGTCAGTGGTGACAAGTATAATTCAGCAAAGAGTTTAAAGCAGACACGTATATGCAGCCCTGCCCATGGACTTGCTCAGGGACATCATCTGCAGTCTTGCACAGGAAATAGCTGCTTCTTTGTGGGTACCTCTAGATTTTTCTTATATTATTGTCTTTGCACACATTCTTAACTAAAAAAACCCAAACACACACATGATTGGAGCAGTGTGGTTTTGAGTCCTCTGGCTCTGCTTAGAATCAGGCATGTTCAGTGAAAACTGCAACTAGAGATTTTTTCCTTCAGAGATTCTAAGTCAAAGTAGTGAGAAGCTCAGAACAAAACAACAGGCTCCTTCAACCACTAATGCTACTGCTAATAATCCATGCAATTCTGTCACAACACTTACTTCCAGGAGTAACATCCCCTTGCTTCTCTTGAGGACCTGCAGCAATGAACAAGCTTAAAGCTCCTGTAACCTGGAGCATGGTGATCAAAGGGAAGGCAGTGCCTCTGTTTTGCAGGCCCTCAACATTTTCATTTTGACTTTTATAAAGTCACTTTTTTTTCCCCCACACTTCACAGCTGTTTACACAGGCATGTGCATTTACAAGGAATCAGGTTTGAAGGGAATAAATGAGGACACTGATTTTTCTTGGTATTAGTGAAGGAAAACTGCAGATTGGATCAATGTGTCCACATGGACCAGACACCATCAGCTGCACAGCTGATCCTAAATCAGCTCTACTGGCTTGCAGAGCTGGGTGCAATTCAAAGGTTCACAGAATATGAGCCTGAGGCTAACAAACAATACAGCTGGGCTTGGCATTGCTTTCCATGTAAGAGGCGATTATCAAATATAGCTTGCCTGTTGTCTACGTTTTCTGTTTTTAACCTATTTCCCTTTCAAGGTGTTCTCTACCAAAGAAGTAGGTAGAGAATAAAATGTAAGTGGGTCAGGGTATGAGTACCTCCTAATGGCAAAGAAAGGAGCTGTTAGGCTCCTTTGTTTTCCTGTGGTGGAACCAAAACTGGTTCCACCAAAGGCAAGGGCAACATTTCACAGGACCTCAGGTAAGACTGAGAAGCAGCTCATTGCCAAGCAGCTTTTGAGAGTTAAAAGCAGGCAGGTAGCTGAACAGGGATGCTCATGTTGTACCAGTTAAGTTCAATTAAAAATATTAGTCTTATTCCTCTTTCCTAGAGTTTCTGGTCAAGTAGCAAGAAACCACAGAGGTGTCCCCAAGGAAAGAGGCAGAGGAGGGAGGGCTCAAGGCCTTTATAGAGGTTCTCTGAAGCTGTGGAGTTCTCTGAAGCCCCAAAACTACAGCTGGAGGATTATTTCTTTGGGGCTGTTGTGGCAGAGGACAGGTCCTCCGGGTGATCTGGAAGCAGGAAGCGAGAGACCCAAGATGTGTGCAGGAGCTCCTGAGCCGAGAGACGCTCCGAGGCTGGGCACAGCAGCTTCAGGATCACAGCCTGTGGGACACAGTGGTGGGGCAGGGCTGCAGTGCCTCTCCTGAGGGCTGCAGAGACCCCTGGCACCTGGGCACTCCTGGCAGCTGGGACAACTCCATGCCCTTGGTGGCCCCAGCTGCCTCCAGGTGTCCTTTGGTCACCCCGGGCCCACTTGTCTGCCAACATCCCTCAGTACCCTCCATTACTACCCCTGCAGCTAGTCCTCAGCACCCCTACCCTGCTCCCCTCAGTGCCCCAAAGCTGCCTCCAACACCCTCTAATGGTCCTTGATGCACCTGGCTGCCCCCCAAGGCCCACCTTGCAGGCATTGGGCATGGGGTCCTCCTCGACGAGGACAGGGGCGTGTTTCGCCTGCTTCTGGAGACGCCACAGGTTGGTGTCATCGAAGGGCAGCTCACCCAGGAGCATGGCATAGAGGATGACGCCGGCGCTCCAGGTGTCTGCCAAGTAGGGGTTATAGGGCTGCGCCTGCAGGATCTCGAGGCAGGCGTAGGCATAGGACCCACAGAACGTCTGGCTCAGTATCTTCCCGCTGGATCCACCTTCAGGTGCAGAAGCTGCCACGGACTCCCCCTTGACCTCATCCACGGCCATACTTCGGGGGAAGCCAAGGAGGGAGAGCTTCACATTGTCTTTGCTGTCCAGGAGGAGGTTCTCCATCTTCAAGTCTCTAAGAGAGACACAGGAGGTGSAGTGTCTCTGGGGCAGGTGACAGTGCGGAGGGCAGGTAAGGGTGCTGTGGCTCATGTAGGAGACCAAAAAAAGGCTGGCAGGTCAGATACAGGGTGCACAGGGCAACCTAGAGATGACCTGTGGGGCAGACAGGGCAATACAGAGGCAGGTGCCGGAGGCGGGATGGGTGGCAGGTGAGGGCAAATAAGGGCGTTATGGGGCAGGTAGAGGAACCATATCTGGACAAACAGAGGCTGGTGGGGATGAGATATGGGCCATATGGGGCCAAGGGGCCACCTATGGGGCTTGCAGAGCAAAGTATATGGCAAAAAGTGGCACGGGAGCACATGGGCAGTAGGAAGGAGATAGGGATTGTGAGGGCGCTTGTGGGTCCGTGAACCCCTCGCTGCCCGGCGGAGCTCACGCACCGGTGGACAATGGCCCTGCTGTGCAGGTAGACGAGGCAGAGGACGAGCTGGGAGAACCAGAGCCCCGCCTGCTGCTCGGAGCAGGGCCCCTGGCTCTGCACGCGCTGCAGGACGTTGCCCGCGGGCGCCAGCTCCATGACGATGTAGTGCTTGCTGCTGGTCTCGATGGCCTGGTAGAGAGTGATGAGGTGCTTGTGGTGCACCCCCTTCCATAGCTGCGGGTGGGCAGGGGGTTAGCGGGGACAGGCCTGGCCCAGGCAGGCTCCCCCCAGGGACAGGGCGGCAGCTGCCCCATCTCCTGCACCTCCTGCCCCACTGAACCTCTCRCTGCCCCAGCAATGGCCACAAGCAGGTCCCAGTGCCCCCCAGCCCTCTACTCCCCCCACTGCCTCCAGCACCCCCCGATGCTCCTCTGCGTGTGCCCCCTTCCTGCCTGGATGTGCCGGGGCAGCAGCTCTCTCAGATACTGCTGCGTGGCTTTCTTTTTGGAGATGACTTTGATGGCGACCTGCGCGTGCCCCTGGCGRGCCCGGGCCCGGTACACCTTCCCGTAGACGCAGTGACCCAGCAGCCCCTCCAGCTCGTAGCCAAACCGCGCCAGCACCCCAGGGGTGGTAGCAGGGGCCGCCTCTGCCATGACCTGCAGGCAGGAGAGCGGCGCGGGGCTTCCCCCCGCCGGCGACCGGTCCCCGGGAGCGACCGGCCCCCGGGAGCGACCGGCCCCCGGGAGCGACCGGCCCCCCCGGGAGCGACCGGGCTCCCCTCTCCTGCCTCCGTCCAGCCGGTGGCCGCGGGGGGGAGGGTGGTTCTGCCCGAACCCCCACGCTGGTGACATCACAACCGCGGGGATTCCCCCGTGTGACGTCACAGCCCCCGCCACGCGGGACCCCACGGCGAGGCCGCGGCCCCGACACTGGCGCGGGGTGTGGGGAGGSAGGGAGGGAGCAGCCCTGCGGCGAGCCGGAGCCGGCGTAGCCCCGCCCCCTGCCCGCTCGAGGGGGCGTGGCGACGGACACCGCCCAATGGAAAAAAAAGTTGAGCGGCAGCCCAATGAACGGCGGCGACGGCGGCTGTTGCTGGGCAGGCCTGCGCGCTGCGCCCAATGGGAGCGGCGCGCTGCGGCCGGGCCCGGGCGCAGGCGGCGGCGGGCGCGGAGCGGAGCGGAACGGCCGGGGCCGCGGCGCTCACCATGCCCTACAAGCTCAAGAAGGAGAAGGTGCGGCGGGCGGGCTGGCCGGGGCGGCGGGGAGCCCCGCGCCGCCGCCGCCCGCTCCCTCCTTCCCGCGGCCTTCCCTTAGCGCGGCCGTTGGGCGGGGGCGCGCGCGGGGCTGCGGCCGGCAGGGGGCGGGGGCGCGCGCGCCGCGGGTACTGCAGGAGGGCGGCGGGGGCGCGCGCGGAGGGGGGGGCGCTGCCGCTCCCCCCCGCCCCCCGCGGCGGGCCCGGGGGGGGGGGACAGTAGTGCCCCCCCCCAACCGGCGGCCGGTCTCGGCGCTGCCGCAGTAACGGGCAGCGGGGGAGGCGGGCGGAGCAGGCCCGGGGCGGCCCGGCCGTGACTGTGCAAGGCGAAGCATCCCCTGAGCCCGCTCTCCCCCGCAGGAGTCTCCGAAGTCCGCGAAGAGCCCTGCGAAGCCCGCGGCAGGCAAGGATGGCGGGGCGGAGAATTCGGAAGAGGTAAGGATATATTCCGCCCTCCTGCATCCCGGATGCTCCAGGGCACCCGTGCTCTGCCGCAGGAGTGACACCTCTCRCTCCCAGTGCTCCAAGGTGATCTGTTGGATAAGGGCTCTCGCCCGGAGAAGGCGGTAGCCGGGATCGCGTTTAAGGAGAAGTTAGTTGGCCCCAAAGGAGCCACGGCAGCGGAAGAGGCCGCGGGAGCGCRGTGCCCTGTTGTCCTGCGGGAAGGACGAGGCTTGGCACGACGGGCAGCGCGTGGCCGAGCTGGCCACGCAGAGCCGAGAGCCGCCGCCGCTGAGAAGAAAGAAGCCTCGTGGACCCGAGTGGCTTTCTGGCTCCTGCAAAGCCGAGGAAACGGCTGTTGTGTCGTGGCAGAGCGAGGGGAGCGATGAGAAGCAAGGAAAATGGGGCTTGTGCTTTTGAGGCCTTTTCTGGGGAAGCAGGGCTGGGAAGTAATTGGTACAGCATCTGAGATAATAGCAGTAAACTATTAGAGATGAAACACTTGTGCTGTGCTGTAACAGCCTTCCCGTTGTTCACAGAAAGCCAGGGTCTGCCTTCCCAGCTGCACAGGCACCCTGCTGGCCTCAGTTTTGATGCTGCCAAGGTGCCTGCATCAGGGTTGCCTCAGCAGAAAGCGAGGCTGTGATAAGCTGTGCTAAAGCTGGCAAACATTTGGGTAGGCCGGAGCTCCTTTGGTAGACTTGAGCTTGTCTGGCATTCAAATGGTGTGGTTGTGGAGCCTGAGACTTGGCTGCAGCAAAGTGCTGCATGTGTGTCCAAGGAAGCATTTTTTAATACTGCGATTTGGCAAACAAGCTACACCACTTTACATCCATAGAAGCTTGTGCAGTCAGGTCTTGTCTGGAGCATGTTGCGCTCCTGAATTGGGGAACCRGGTCCAGGAGACGCGTGCGGCTAATGAAGGCTAAGGAGAAAGCTGCTGTTCAGCGGGATGCCCATAGCCAAACTAAGGTCGCCCAAAAGTCTCCTTGAAACCGTATGCCTGGGCTGTGGAGTCTCCACAAATATCCCTGCCACTTAGCCGCTCCGTGTCAAGCTCTAAGCTGTGCTTGTGCCTCATCTGCTGTGTAGCCAGAAGAATCAGAAGCTGAGTTTGTTCGCCTTGGGGCGATGAGCAGTTTCGCAGGCTCTCCATCGTAGTCTTGGCCTCTGCCTGGTTTATTCTGCATGTGCAGGTGGAAAATGCTCGCTGGARGACTGTCCATGGGCTTGGGGGAAATGAGGGCGCTCCCGCCTTGTGGTGAGGGATCGGACTGACCTTCTGTTTATTTAGTTTATTTGTTTTATTCTGTTTATTTGTACTCTCTGTGCGCTGAGTTGGCGGCTCCGAGAGGAGGAAGGGACGCGTGGGTCTCGCAGCGCGTGGGTGGCAGCCGTCACAGCAGAGCAGGCCCGTGGCCCCTGCAGCGCAGCGGCAGCTCTGGTGCCGCTGTCCTGGTCCCAAAAGGCGCAGGAGCAAAGGGAGGACGGTGCAGGTCGGGAGCTTCCCTCCTTGACCTGACGTGGCCTGTAACGTCTGGTTGTTCCTGGGTGCAGAAGAAATTCAGGAGTGATGTGTCTAACCTTCCCTCCCACAACACATACCCAGCCACTTCCTCATATCCCAGACTAAATCCAGCCTTTCTTTAAGATGGAAGGCTGGGTCTCCTTTGATCATAAGAACAGAGAGCCGAAAGCAGACACCTCTGCAGCGTGCAGGTCTCTCCTTCCTTTCCCTGCTGAGGTTGCAGTGAAGCCTGTTCTCCCTCAGTGCTTTCCTGTCCCTGGACTACTCTGCTGCAGAATGGAAGAGAACTCTTTGCATGATAAGAAGAAATGTATGCCAGTTTGAATGCAATTTTCCTGCTCTTCAGGAAGCACAGAAAGGTATTCTGACTTTCACTTGGGGTGACCATGAGGAATTAGGTCTGTGTGGTGGCAGGGAGACTCCTGCCTTGTGTCAGAAGTCAGAGGGAGCTAGTGGGGATTTTGTTTCTGTAAGTTCCCTTGTGGGGGGGGTTCTGTCCTGTAAATTCCTCCACAGAGCTGTGCTTGTTTGGCTGCCTTTCGTTGGCTGAAAGTTATGTGTGCCAAAGAGAAATTCCTTCTTTCTTCAGCCCTTGATTGGGGCTTAATGTGTTGGCGCAGAAGAGCATCTAGACAGCCCTCTCCCAGCGTGTGCTCCCTTCCCTTGTGTTGTGCTCCAAGGAAGGGAGGAAGACTCGCAGCCCTAGTTTATCCTGGTAGCAGRGAGTTGTGAGTGGTTTTGCCAGCGAGCTAGCTGCCTGGGGTGGAAGGAGTCAGACTCTGCAAGGAGTGACTCTGGTTTGAGAGACCTGAGCAAGTGCAGTGGTCTGAGTGGTCTAAGATCTCCTGTAGGGATCTTTGTGAGGAAGATGAAGGGGACAGGAGTCAGCCCAGAAAGTCTTAAGCGTCAGAGCTTCGTTCCTTGCAGCAAGCAGCTCCTGGTGCAGCTGAGCTGGAAGGGCAGATGTGTGTGAAAGGAGCCACAGGTCCCCATAAAGGGATGGAAATGTTTGAATCCGCTTGTGATCACCAGCACAGAGCAGCGATGGTGGAAATGAAAGGTGGGTTCCTGCATCATCTTGGTTTCTGCTTGTTCTTGTGGCTGCCCAGCCAAGGGCAAAGCTGTGTGAGATGAAGAGGCAGAAGCACCTGGCCAAGCTCTTGCTTTTAGAGGGGCAGCGTTTGCCTGGGAGGAGATAGGAGCTGTGGATGGCACGTAAGAGCAGGCAATGGGAAAGAGGGTTTTTTTTGTCCTCCTTGTCCCTTCCCCACCCTGTCCCTCTCACATGATGAAGTGGAGAGAATTTCTGTGTAGCTAGTTAACAAGGGGAAAAAATAATGTCACAGAACAGCGTTAGATGGGAGGATGAAAAGAGTTGCTCCTCCTAGCCAGAAAGACTGGGAGAGGCAGCTTGGTGGGGAAGAGTTAATGACCTGGAAGTAGGAGCAGGATTTAGCAGCAGAGGAGAGAGGAGTTGCTCCGCAGCCTCAAGGGCAGGCTGGAGCCTCAYGGATACGATGCGCAGCTCTGGCAGTGGGTGCTTCTTCTCGCTGAGCTGCTGTATTACGTGTTTTGCAGATATCTCCACGGGGCTTGTTACTGCAGTACCTGGAGTTCATTAGTCAGAGACAGGCTTTTCAGTGTGTTCAGTTCAGTTACTCTGAAGCAGAGAGCTCGATTTTTAATAAGGAAGCTGTATAACAACAGGCAAGGAGAAAGAGAGCAGGTACTGACTTGAGGAATGGGAAGGGAATAGTCATCGGAGGAGGAGCCRAGAGCGGACCTGGGCTGAGGAGCTTGGCAAGCATGGGATGCTCAAGGGGCTGCTAAGGCAGCCACAGCAGGAGAACTTACAAAAGGTGAGGTGCTGGCTGGGTAGGAGAGCAGAAGAGAAGCTGGTGGCAAGAGCTCAGCAGAATTGGATGGCAAGAGCTTGGGGGAGAARGTCTGTGTGCTGGGAAGCTCAGGGTGGAAAGAGAGGGCATGGAGCCCGTCCAGGGCCTGGGGCTTGTTGACGTGCACAGGCAAGTCCCTTGCAAGTGGGAGGGCTGGTGGGAAGTGGCGCCGCGAAGCCACCCAGCCTGTGCCTGGGGGACCTCCGGCCTGGCTGCAGCCGGGGCTGTGAGCGCCCTGCTCTGCCGCAGCGGGAGAGGAGGAGCTGCTGCGCCGCGCTYGGCTCTGCGGCTCCGGGCCCGTCCCCAGCGCGTGTGCCCGCCGGCAGCTCCCGAGGAGCCGGCAARGTCCCGCCGGCGCGAGGAGGCCGGGACCTGTGCCCGCAGCCACGCGGCGCCACGTGCCGAGGAAGCGGTTCCGCAGGTTGGTACCCGTGYGTTGGGAGAAGAGCTTTCCGCTTCAGCAGCTTGCTGCTTTTCCAAGGCTGGAAGCTTCTCAGAAGAAAACACTTTCAAACTTAAGACAAGCCTCTTCTCTCC